CGTCGTGAATAAACATGCGCCTGTAGATAATGTTCCGGCATTATTTGTATACAAGGAAAATTTGCATTATAATTTTACCGGTAAGTCGATCGAAAGAAAAAGGAATGATCATTATTTTCTACTGTATCAGTGTTTAATTCAATCTATAGGGCACAACTTGAGCGATACGGGACAAGTGAACGAAACACTTTATAAGTGGGTGAATGCGGAACGTTTTCCAACGTTTCCGAAAGTAACAAGAGGAAATATAAATCAATTATTCTTAACAAATAAGAATCTCGTTTTAGCGGTGGTGGAAGAAAATCAATTGGAAGAGGTCGCGCCTGATATGCTGAAATTCAAAAACATGGTTGAATCTGTGATCAAGACTAAACGAAATAAGTATCATGAGTACGTTTGTCACATTTATCAGACAACTTTTTGATAAAAGTAAGAAGTGAAAGTAAATCATCGTTGTGTTCAGTCATTTTCAGTTTGGTTGGATAGGTAGTCCCAATCTAGTCAACAGCATAGCAATGATGACACTACCTATACCGAGCTTACTTGTGATAAATACAACTACTAATCACCATCATATTCCTGAGGATGAAATAGAAAAACTAACTCCATACATAATAGAAATGTTCCTAGAGCAGATTCGCAACGAGAGTGCTCCGGTATAATATTAACGTGTACTTCATATTTGCTATTTATTCGATCTGTTAAAAAAATACGCGTTTATAAGTATTTATGTATTTTCATCAGCGATATGGTGGCAACAATTGGCTAGTACGTAGTTATAGAAAATGGTTCGAAATGAAAACTGTTCTGACTTCAATGTGGAAGGGCAATCCTCTCTTGATGATGGTCCTGCTTGGATTACCGTTTGGATTTCTGTCGTTAATATGTTACGGCATTTGTTGTCCAGATTTATTGGACGCGAACGACGATGAAGATGGTAAAATTCTTTTTATTTCTTAGGAGATTAATTTTTACATAAAAATTATATATATGGTCATTTTATATTTCTTTCAGAGAATATTGGGACACATCATATGAAGAATGATTAAGAATAGTTACTATTTAATAGGTATATTATAATAGAATTCCGAGACACATTTTTCATTAAGTATAGTGTATATAAACGCTTATGATTACAATATGTTTTTGACAAAAATTTGCCAAAGCAGTTTTAAGATTGCGAGAATTTTTATACAATGATTCATATATTTTTGATTCCATATTACAATTTATTTTTCCATTTCGTACATATAGTACTGATTTCTTTTATGTGCTGTATATATAACAAATATTATGTGTATCCCTCGAGACAATACGATCTACCGAGTTAAGCGAATATGTACACACTGAGAAAAATTTGTTTTTTAACACAGCTTTAACAAAAAGAGAATGTAATATATATCAAAAATTTGTATATTAAACACGATTGTTCATATAGTTTGTAAAATCGTATTAAACATCAAACTAAACATTGGTTTTTGTATATGTATGGATAAAATAATGATAATATTTAGCATTATGCAAGTTGTGCGAAACTGTTGTTTGTTGTATTGTGTAGACCGGAAGAGTGATTGTGATTTCTTTTTTAGAATGAAAAATAATTATATGTTCCCTGAATGTATTTATATGTATAAAGAAAGAGAGATCTAAAGAGTAAATATTTCTCCAGATTTATTATTATTACTACTATTATAGAGAAATGATATGTAGTTCTGTATAGAAATGGTTGATTCTGGAAAGTGTGTTGGAAAAATGGAAGATTATAAGGTGAATAGTAATTTCCAGATATATATGCGACATATTTAATAGCAAAGTGAATGGTAATGTTGATCAACTCTTGTGTCTTACTATCAAAATTCAAGTGATAGTAACTTTTTTATTTCAGTACAGCATAAAAATAATATTACTAAGCAAAAAGTAGTGAATATTGTAATTTCTGTAACTTACTGCACATATGAATCATGAGCATCGCTTCTAATTTAATCGATTTCAGATGTAAAATTTATACAATTGCTACAAGTCCATATCATCGTCGAAATCCATAGCTGCTCTTCTCCTGTCAAACTGAAAAATAAAATTTTGTGATTTTGTTACTTTCTATACTTTTTCAAATGCACGATTGTATTATAAAATTATATTAACTTTGACTGTTGTCTTCCTTTGCGTTTGTTGATTCACATTTTCGAGTAAATTGATTAGTTCTTTCTCTCCAAGTTTGCCAGGTAGTTGTCCACGTTGTGCCATGTTCAAAAGCATTTCTTCCACCATTTTGCCCTTCTCAGGCTTTCCAAGGCAAAGTGTATTCACTATCCATAAATATACAATGTTATAAGCTATTAATACCATATCTCAATGATATTAATAATAAAATAAATTTACATCTTGCTCTAGCTGACTGATCCAACACTTGGGTTAATATAGCATGCTTCATCTCTTCCATTTGTTGCATTCTCTCTTCCATCGCTTGTTTATCGTTGACATTGTTACCCTAAAACAAAAACATACCTATATTTAAACAATTTTAATTCCATGAAATTCATATAGAATAATATGTCACAAGTAAACTTATAAAATATTATAGTTTTTTAATGTTGGAAATATAATACAAAGCATAGAGATAAGTACTGGACACTGATCTCAGCAGTGAAGGTTTGGAAGTCAGTGAAAATATACTCAAATTAAGAAGATCTCTCATTGGAATGAAAAGAATTATTTACAATTATATAAAGAAGTTAAAAAAAAAATGATCCGAGTATAACAACATATTCAGAATTTTAACATTCAGGTATCATATAACCTCAAGAGGTATTGAAGACATAAATACTAAAAATCAGTGGGAGCTCTCATCGCTTTTACTAAATTTATGAATAACTTTTTAAGGTACTGTAGAATGACACACACATGGAGTTTATGTATTTTAGTCATCCAAAAGAAATGAAATAATTATTAATGCGAATAATTTATTTTTCATTATTAGCCTTAAATTCCAAAATATAAAATTAAGTGAAGTCTCGTAATGCTTACTTTGTACTGAGCTTGCAGTTGAGCCAGACGTTGCTGTCGTAACGCTTCAAGTTCCGGGTCTGACATATTTGTTTTCGTATCTTTTTAGAGTTTTCTCAAGATTTTATCGCGAATTTTACTTTATCGTGTTATATCGATATGTAAATTTATCTGAATGATCTAAATATAAATCATGCCCAATCCTTCTCTATTTTCACTGCACACTGCCGTCACAGTATAACCAGAGAGAAACCTAAGAGTGGACATCCCGTCCTTTTTCGTGTACCAAAGGGTACCTCATAGGGTAATGTCCACGTTTTTGTGGTTTCTTTCCGTACTATTACTTGGATTAGACCATAGACATATAAGATAGACCCAGCATTAGCTATACTATACCTGAGTTTGGCAAAACGGTGCGAGAGACAACTGTATTTTTTTTTCCACCAATTGATTCATCTCATTATTCTGTTCATAAAAGTATTAAGGTACGATTATCAAAAAATTAATAGATTACGAGTTATTTAATATTTTATGTCAATATGTGCCACAATGAAATATAAAATATCTCGTAAACTATTGGTTTTTTGATATCGCTACCTTAATACTTTTATATGCAGAATAATTAGAGGAATCATATTATGTAAAAAAATTTGTATAATTCCATTTAAAAAAATGACGACCTTCAAATAACTTTGAAAATCGGCCTGAAGATCAAAATCATTAGCACAGATAAATGACCCCCCCATTGTCCTGAACAAGTTTTGTCTGAACTATTTTTCTGTATCTGCCTTACCGACGGAGAAATTTGGATGGGTCCCGTAAAATGGCTCACCGTGTATATAATACATAATACGCGCGATTTCTGTACTATGTGATTGGTCACGCCATTGTGAGGGGATTTCGGAATTGACCAATGAAAATAATCACGATTGTGGCCAGACTCTACCTTTTAGGCTGCGGTCCACTTGACGCTACAAACGCTTCGAAGCGTTTGTAGCGTCAAGTGGACCGCAGCCCTAGAGACACAAAGGGCGGAATCCATAGACGTTGCTCAAGATTCCAGATGGTCTTAAGCTAGTACATGAACCAATCAGAGAGCGGATTTACCTATAATAGATAAACTTTACCATAAGATGGAACAATCGGTCCTAAGTGAAATAGAACGATATATAATATAATGTAAGAAATTAATCAAAGATGTCACTATTATCGAATTTGGAATTAAAAAAGTCTGCACTATCGACCTCGATCAAGTTCGGTAATCGGTTTAGGATCCCCTTAAGACACTGGGTGCGTTCAGCAGAACGTTTGTTTTGCAACTGTTGTAAGTTTCCTTCGCGCTAATTGGATCATACTTTTAGATCTAGAAGAATGGTCCTATCTCAGCAGACAATCATAAAACGGTTGCAAAACTGTTGAGTCTGCTGAACGCAGCCATTGTTTGAGATTAAGACCGGTATTCATAGTCAGTTCTTATATTCAAGACCGTTTTAAGTTCAGTTTTGAGATGTCACGAATCAATCAGAGGGCTGTATTAGCATCTTAAGACATTACTTAAGACGGTTTTGAAATAAGATCTGACTATGAATACCAGTCTAAGACCGGACTATGGATTCTGGCCTAAGCAACCAATTGCCATACCAGAAGCACGCCAAAAATCGCCTATAATAGAATTGTTAATAATAAAATATGCCATTTATTCAAAACAAATATAAAATAATGAAAACATAACATATTAAATATTTGTTTAAGTATACTGTTTGTTGCACATATGTTTTAATTTTTTCTTCTTTCTTACAATTCTTTTGCTTTATAAAATAGTTAATATGCTGCAGAGAGGCGTACATATGTATGGTATCTCAGTAAACAAGCGATTACTGTCATCGGCAAAGAAACTTTAGTTTGTACAATGCTTGTTAATTTGTCAAAAATTAGACATTCTGTACTGAATGATTTGCGTGAAATTCTAAACTAAAAAAAAGAGTAATTTCGAACAACATTTGATAAATACTTTAGTAGTATTGTACAGTTTAGTCATTAATATAATATATTTTATATCAATTACTTTATATTACGCATAATTTATATTTATAAATAACATAATCCTTATGTTGAAGTAGAATATGGAGTCTGTATCAGGTGCAGTATTTCCTGTATCATCTACTTTATGATAATCGACAGAAAATAATTTTTTAAAAGTATTATAAAACTGTATTGGTATAGGATTATACGAATTTCCATTTTCTTTGCGTACTTCACCAAAATAATTTTCTAATGTGCATCTTGATTAACCTTCTAGTTAACAAATATTGCAGAGGAGTTGATGATTGTTGTAAGTATGTCCACATCTGAAGTATTGCATTAATTGTTATTGTCCAACATTTCAATGATTTAATTGAGCCAATTATGTTTTTACTATTTTTGTTTAAAACATTTACAGATTGTAAAAATTTTTTTCATTTAATTTAAAAATGCACAATGCTCATATGAATTTGTAAATGCTACTTTATTAGGATCACTATCTAGCATAAAGTGTGCTAGAATTCAAAATATTAAATAATTTATTAAAGTTTTCTAAAAATTCTACTGTAAATGTAGCTTTTTCGGATATTAAAACTAATGCAATGTGTACATTTATATCAGCTGCAACAGTTCTGCTTAATACTTGTGTTGCAAGTTTTAACTTCATTTTTTGAAAATTGTTAGGTTTAATATGTGCATCTGACAACTTTGGAACTGCTCTAAAAATTGAGCCTTTTTATCATATTTATAAAATTCTTCAATATACTTCCATGATGTACATTTATCATTATGTGCGAAACTATGGTGATATAAATTATTTCTAGTTGCTTTAATCAAGTGTGAGGAATCAAAAATAAAAAATATTTTATCTTCGTCAATTTCAAAATATGGCTGTTCTATGTCTATATTTAGTAAGGACAGTATTTATAGTCCGTATTTATTTCAAGATCATCTTAAGTAATGTCTTAAGATGCTAATACGGCCTTCTGATTGGTTCGTGATATCTTAAGACTGTACTTAAGGGGATGCTGGAGTGACCAAATTATCACATTATAGTCGTATAAAAATCTTCGAATTTACTGAACGGAATAAAAAATCCTTTTACAGGATTAAAGTAGACGCAAAATTAGGAGGTGGTGGAGTGAATTTTATACTAAAATCGAAAAAAAATTAAAAAATTTTTTAACATTCTTTTTTTCAAACAATTTTTTCAGAATTTTTTATCAACTTTTTAGTACTGCATTTTCTTATTTTTACCAACATGAGAAAATACGGTATTAAAAAATTTTCAGAACCTTATGGAAAAGAAAATAAACAATTTTTGTCTCTCACAGTTTTTCTGTAAAGTTAATAGTATTTGAGTAAAAGATTATTGAAGACCAATTTTCGATAATTTTTAGTAATTAATATCTTGTTAATTATTGCGAAAATTGTAAAATGGTAGAGGACTTTTCTTCTTAGTTTAGTCCATTATGCCCCTATGCGAAAGATTTTTCATTACTTTCCAAACTCCCTGTATAGTATTACATATACGCATGAGTTATACCAATTATGACTTAATTGTATAAAGAAGAACCCGATCTATAATTACATAAACGTGGTTGTAAGTGATTATAGTTGTAAGATGCAATTGTATTTATGCAATTGTAGATCGGACGTTAAAGAGAGTACAATTAATTTGATTTTCCATATCTAAGTATAAAAACAAGTATAATATAAAAATAAGAGATGTACACTACATCTTTTTAATTACGTTTTAACATAATTAAAATCATAGATTAAAATCTAGTTGACATTTCTTGTAAATAATCTGAAAAGTATAATAGATAACACTACCTTCTTATATATCTTTCGGAAATTTAAATAGCGTCCTTTCGCCTCCGTTCAGTACTTATGTATACTTTCACAATTTTTAAAAGCATACGAATATTCGCTTCTGTTCTTTATATTTTTTATATCATAAATTATTTGTCCTTCGTAATCGGGAGAACCAAATATATTCTTATTGAAAATAAGTTATATTTAGATTATTATAGGCCGCCATACTATCGAGTGTGCATTTTCGTCATGTGCAAGTAACAATCATTTTATAGATTTTGGCCTGAGTGAACCTACTGTACGTATTTAAACTGTGGTTATGTATGGAGCCCTTTGACTATATACCTCTGGACTGCTAGTTACCTCCACTTTTCCTACCTTTTCCATAAGATAGAAAGAGAGGACCGTGTATCCAAGATCTCAGAGCCATCAGGTCCGGAAGTTGGCCAAATCAAGAACTAACTAGCTGCATTTTAAGTAAGAATCGGTACGAATAACTCCGAATAAAAAATTGAAGTGATCCAGAAGTACTGCTAAATAAAAAAATGGTTCGTTCTTGTTTTGCTAAATTATGTAATAATACCAGATACAAAGCTGTAGGAGTAATTAAATGTGATGCGGGAAAAATACAGATTTAAAATCAATTCGAAAAAGGTACCAAATTTAATAATAAAATAAAGTACATATTACAGTACAATAAAATATACATGAAAAGAAACACGGTAGGACAAATCTAAATAAAATATATCTGAAGAAAATAATATATATAATTATAAGCTAATATATATGTATACTTTTTATTGCCCTCTAAATAAAATTATTTTAGTCAGATCTTTTCTGATATATGTTAATTGAATATTTTATAATAGTTTAAATAAAATATATAACCTCAACACGCGTCCCGATTGTATCGATTTTTACTCGAAATGCAGCTAGTTAGTTCTTGATTTGGCCAACTTCCGGACCTGATGGCTCTGAGATCTTGGATTCCAGTAATGGCTGCCGTTAGCAGTCCAGAGGTATATAGTCAAAGATGGGGCCATATTGCATTTCTATTCATATTACATTTAGGATCCAATTCTGATTGGCTAACCAAATCGGCTACTGCGCATCTCCCCTCTCAAGTTGATTCAACGGTTTTCATCCGCCGCAGCCATTACTTCGTGTGCAGTGTTGCATAATCTAGCGTAACGGCATTTTGTATTTCAATCAATTCCTACGCAATTTTGCAATTTGCTGGCTCAGGTACTTCTGATGATGAACGCTACGATGTATGAAGAAGATTATAGCATCAAGATGGACTTCGATGACATCCACACTCCTTTGATGGAAGCTGCTAGTGCAGGGCACGTGGATATCGTATCGAGGTTGATTGCTCACGGGGCTGATGTTAATACTCTATCTGTATCGTGTAATACACCACTCATATATGGATGCGCCGGTGGACACGAAGAGATTGTACGTATTTT